GTTAGGCCTGATTGCGGTGTAGCCCCGAAGACAAATAAACTACCGAACGGGCGGCGGCACAATGGCTTAGACGTACCTGCTTTGTTTTATGTTGGTTTCTTCCATTTTCTCAATTAGAGCCTAATGAGTATTTCCGAAGCAACAGCATAAAGAGCAACGCTGAACTTTTGGTACCGTTAGACAACCAGAAATGGGTATAATGGAGAAAATTTCCGTCTAGTTCAAAGGTATAGCATTCAATTGTGTGTCGCAATTTTTAAGACGAATTAGTGGGTATAAAAAAATGAGAACAAAAAAATACCCGTGACAAATTTACCTAAACTATACAATTCCAAAAATAGCATACAAAATAAAAAGTTTGTTAATGCAAAATAATGGGCTTCTCGATACGTATTTATATTCAAATCAAAATAAGCGTTGCTAAGCAAAAGCCGGAAAATCAGAGAAGCTAAACCTCTACCAGTACACCCAAGGTGACGTTCAATTGATTCTGCTGGATATTAGGCCAGTAAAAGTCCAATAATTACCCCAGAAAAAGCATTTATTTATGAATATTGAACGATTCCATTGTACGAATAATAATTAGTAACACTTACTTTTAGAATGGACGCGTGTTTCGCTAATCACGTTAACATCATCAGCAGTAGTGATTAAAACCAAATCGGTTAGAGAAACGCGCGCGGCTGTATTGTAAAGTAAAGTAATTGCGGTGTAATAGTGGGTGAATTAGGTTTCTTATCCTGCTGTGGGTAACACTAGCTGTCTCAAAGTTACGCTATTGTAATCTGCTTTGATTTTATTGGTTTTGAAGTATTTTCATTAATACATATCAGCTAAATCCGGCAACTGGAGCGTATAGATTGGGGTAATGAAAACCATTCATCAATAATTGAGCACTGGAAAGCTCAAGGACGGTACAACTGATAGATCGCCTGAGCGAAAGTATCACCAGTATCGAAAAATAGAGCCTTTTCACCCATCGCTTCTTTGGTTGTAAGTACCTGCCAACGCCAAGCGCCGCCGCTTGTAGGTAGTGCCAGTGCGTGATGAATGGCGCGGTAAGCGGCGAGCGATTCACCTGATCGCTTGAATTAGTTTATTTCAAAGCACTGTCGATGTAGGTCGTAAAACTTTGTCCCTCAGATACGCAACAGATAAAAATATACGGCGTCGTAGCAAATTTGTTTACCGTGGCATGCCCGAAACTTTGCTTTATCGAGTAATACGCAAAGCATTAAAATCAGTAACTTCAATTTAATTTCATTCTAGGATCGCGTGCGCTCGTCGCCGAATAACAATTTTGGTAATGTTTCGTCCATAACCGAGCCATGTCATATTATTTCACGAATCGATTACTGAGCAAATCTCGCTCAGGTTATCCTTCCAATGCCAGGAGATACAGTAGCCGGTTGAAGACTTAATGACATTCAATTTCCAAAATCAAGACATTGAAAGTAATAAATGAATTTATATTGTTCTATAAAAAATAAGGTTGAAACCAAAGAAATCAAAACCCATTTAAAAATTCGGGTAGCGAGACTAAAAATGATTGATATTTTTACACAAGTGTGATGAAGTTAATGGTGGATATTAGTGGATTTGGTTACATGTCTAAGAGGGGAATCGCTGTGGCAATCTTAGAAGGAGAAAGAAAAATGCGAATTTTTTATTACATCATCCCTTAATTCGACGCTTTGGTATCTGGAAAAACATCTGTCTTCTTTCTTTGTTAAAGCATCAGCATTGTAAATTGATAAGCTAACTATACCTCTTATCGCTCAGTGTTTAAATGGTAACTTACGCCACACCTGCTGAACGATAATAAATTGAGAGTTATTTAGAGATATTATTTAAACAGAAGTTAAGCACTCTCATAAATTTAGAATTTAATTATCTTTACTCCTTTATTAATAAACCCGAAGTAATTCAAACGAAATTGCCAAATCCAAAATGCTACTTTATTTTTAAGCAATCATCTCCAACGTACAACAATTTTCCAGCTGACGGAAACAATTACGGAGGAAAACTGAATATTCAGCAGTTAGGAGGAAACTACTTCTAAAATCAATGAAAATGGGGAATGTACGAAAATTATATAAAACCTCAATCGATATATTGCATCATTTATAAAAAAAAACGTATTTGACTATCACGATGTGATATTCAATAACTTCCTTTCTGATTAAAACTGAACTAAAATAAAATAATAATATTCCTTTAAACTATGCAAAATCTAGTTACGACACTGAATCCTACGTGACAAACTCTATAGGACTCAGTTTTCAACTTTCTGACAAACTATAAGATAAACTAGGATAACATAAGGGAGGTCAAAATTTTTAAATTTGTTTTTAATTTAAAAAAACGTAACAATAGGTTGAAGAAATCTAGTAGAACTTTTGGTTTACAAAAAAAGTAGAATAACAGGGAATACTAAAACTGGCATCTCTTTGTATCTCTACTCATAAACGATAAATCCTGTAATGCACACGAAAACGAGACACTGTACGAAAGTACCAAACAAATAGTGATTTATTTGTATTGGTCTGGGACTAATCCTACTCACACCTATCCAACATCTGGTACGCCAGGTCACCATTGCATCTTCACTGATTGGAATGTAATCTGTTGGATACTACAACTGAACTCCTCCCTGCAAGCAAGCTGCCATGATAATAATGAATAAATTAATTATTTTGATAACAGACTATCCTATAACTGGTATTAAATCCATAATTTAGTCATGAAATCATATTCTATCTCATTTTGACTGATCATTAGTTTTACTTATAGTTTAGTTAAAAATATATTTTATTTAATTTAACTTTTTTTTTAAACTTGGTTTAATAACTCATGTAAGGCCAATAACGTTTCGGTCAGATCTAACTCTGTAGTAGACTCTGTAACTTTTTTATACTTGATAACATGTCAAAGTTGTAGTCGTGTATGAGTATAAAGTAACTTCTGTTGGTAAAGCAACTAAAATAGAAGAAAAATTGAAAAGAAATAGGATTTCACACTCTAATTCTATAATTTTTACGATTATATGGATGTATATAATTTAAAAATGTAATAGTTTACTTAGGTACTCAAAGTTATGATATGTTAGAAGTTTTATTTAATAATAATGAAATTCCAAAATTATTTTTAAAAAACTATTAAAAACTGTTAAAATTCAATAATATGATATAAAAAATAAAAAAAAAAAAAAAAAAAAAATTAACATTAAAAAATACAAGAAATTGAATCCTATGATGAACTTAAAGCGAGTCTTCAAACTAAAAATGTCTTAGTATATTCTACCTTTGTATGTAAGTATATATTTTGTAAAATAAATATTCTTAAGAAAAATAGTCAGTGCTATAGTAGTAGTAGATTCATAATCACTTTATAATTTAAATGATTAGTAATCATTACTTTGAGCTTGTAAAAAACATTGATTAGGGAAAAGAGAAATGATTAAAACAATATACACCAAATGCTATACAAGTTAATAAATACGGAGATGATAAAATTTTCAGAATATGAAATATATCGATGATATAAATATTTACAGACGATATATTATTAAATTTGGGTAAATAAATGAAATAAATGTGGCCATGTTAAAATATATGACGATAAATTAAAATTATTAAAAAAAAAAAAAAAAAAAAAAAAAAAAAAAAAAAAAATTAAAAAATATGTTATAATCGATAGTATTTCCGTATGCTGCCTAGACGCCGGTAAGAATGCGCTATCAAACTATGCGCAATTTTAAATTTAAGCAGATTTCATACCAATAAGCGAAACAACAATGAGCTGAATAAGCTTTCCTTTATTAATAACAATAGTAGATGTTAAATATTGATAAGGATACAATATGGTTGATGTGAAAAAATCAAAATGACAAAAAATAACATTCTGAAAAAAAAATAAAAATATTTCAAAATTAGATTTAATTACTTTATTATACAAACTGGAAAAATTTTGAGGCTTAATTCCACTTATATTTTAATTCCTCGGTCTCTTTGCAACCCAGCTACTACACCTCCTTTCTCACAAGTAATTTGGGTACATAGAGAGAAAAGAAAAAGCCAGAAATCATTGAACGCTATTACCAGTAAAAGTTTACATTCACTGATTTTCTAACACTACACCAGTAATAATCTGGAAATAATTTTGAAACAAAACTTTTCACTCAATGAATGAATACTAGAGGAAACTAGTAAATACTAGCATTCAAATTTGCTTTGCCTTTTAACAGCAGCTGCCTGTAACTTAACATCCGGCAATTACAATCAGAGCTTACTATCTCGATACAGCAGCTCGCTGATCTTTTACGTGTAACATTCACCGAATCAAGACATCAAAGTATAATCAAACCGTTTTAAATTTAAAAAGGATGGAGTCGCGAAAGTGTTATTGAAAATCAAAACAATCAAAACCGGATTCCAGACAATCCTGTGAATTAATAGTCAGTCACCCGGTAGCAGCTGTGACGCTTGATGCTTCTTTGAGGTTGCGTATAAAGACCGTATTTTATTTAGTGCTCGATCGGATCGTTTCTGCAATGGCGATGGTAAAACAACCGCCAAGCCGTGTGGAGGTGATCCAATGTTCTAAGCTCATTTATTGGTTATTTGTTGCTGCCTTCCTGCATTGTACCGTACATTCACCGAAACGGCGTCAGCGATGGCTGCGACATGAAGATCGCTGTCATTTTATATGGGGAAATGCCATCGATCGTCATTCTAGCTAAACCGAACGCCGCTCTTTCGATACAGCAATGGAAATAATAAACCGACTTTTTATATAATAAGTTTTAGTGCGATCACTATAAAGGACTGGTGTTAACAAATTATTATGATTACTGATTTCATTTCTTTCAATCTCGAACATAAAGACGATACCTAATATGAAATAATACCTAATTGCGTCAGTGATTTACCATATGTATCAATTTCAATTCTAATCAACTCTCCATGACTATACAGACAAATGTTTGGCAAAATGCCAAATCACAGCAAGTGCACAAACGAACAATTAGTAAAGCCCATCGCCAACACCAGCATTAGTACGTGATTCAAACAGGCCAAACCACCACCGCAATCGATACACCTACATGACGGACAGCCCCTCTCGTCGCTCCTGTCTGCGCAGTCGAAGATGCCGTCGCACCGCTGGTCGCCGTGGTACGAGCCGTAACCGTCTGCGCATCGCTCTACGTCGTCTGCGCGCTCGCCTCCTGTCTCTTCTTCTCCGCTGCCCTCTACCGGTGGTTCTGTGGTCGTGGTCGTGGTGGTGATGGTGATGGTAGGCGAGGGTTCAAATGTGGTGGGGGCTGCATGTATCAAGCATGACCGACTTGACTGTGGTGCAAGTTATAAAATGTTTTGTTTTATAGGTATAGAATTGTATATATTTTAAAGGTTTCATATTTATAGAAATTACACGTTAGACAAGGATACCTGTTTTGAACTGTTTTTCAATTACAATTGAGAAAGTGATCAAAATGTCTAATAAACTCATAACAAAGTTGTCACAAAGAATGTTAAATTACATTAAAGTTTTCCTATTTTTTTTAGAGATTATATATAGATATAGCTAGGCATTTATGTCAATAAACATATACCTGATATAATATGTTGTCCAGATATCTAGAAATGATAAAATACAATCTTCTTTTGAATTGAAATTGGAGGTAATAGTTGCCACTTAGTTGTAGCTTAAGATGTTACGGGTAATATTTTTCAATGTAATTTCCTATAACATATGAGAAATTACATTGACTGTTAAATTACCATAAAAATTAAGAATAAAATTGTTGTATGTGATCATTCAACACATCTGATCACATTATAATATAACCTGTCCAACGAGTCATTTCTCTCATTTTTTGAACGCCATCTGTCGAAATCTTCTTTGACTCATTGGGCAGACTATAGTTATAGTGCGTGTTATAATAAATTAAAATTTTTGATTTAGTTTTATTTAATAAAACTTCACGGTATCGAAGTCTACAAGGGTAAAACCGATTAAAAATTATGTGTAAAAAACATCACAACGAAAAATAATAAAATCATAAGTACATATTATATAGGATAAAAACAGCAAAACATATTTTTATTGGTTATATTTATATTATGTACTCCAACTGATTTTCTTCTAATTATACAGGGTGATTTACGATGTATAGTTATTTAAGATATCTACGAAGAACAGATATAATCAGATCTTTTTTAAGTCTTCTACAAAATAACCGAATTATTTTCAATTGCAATCCAGTTATTTGCGTATAAAAATACAGAACATCTATTTATTTTAATATAGAAGCACATATACCACAGTATTTTATGTTAACATTTCATTTTTGCTATCACAGCTAATATGGACGGAACCTACTTTGTAAAGACGGTATTCCAAACTCACCTAAGCCATATAGAGTATCTGAATAAAAAATCAATATTGATCATAATGGATTCTAATTTCCATAAAAACGCCTAACCTATAGTCGTTCATAAATCACCTTGTATATTAGTCACTATAATAAAGTTTAATTTACTTTATTTTAAATAAAAAAAAATCAAATTCATAAACAAATGAAATAAATAAAAAATAAATAAAAAAACATACCAGAAGGTGTTGTAATTGCGGGACAACCGTCTTCATCAGATCTGTCATTACATTCAGAAACATAATTACACCTAGCGGACAGCGGTACACATTGTTTGCTTTCACGACATGTTAGTTCGTCTTCGCTACAGTACGGTTCCCTATCTAATAAAAACAAAATAAAAATAATAAAAAATAAAAACAAAGCATAAATAAAAAAATAAAATTAATTAAACTAATAAAAAATGGTATCTCCCTTAGAAAGTTTACAGTATTTACAGTGTATTTATACACATATACTGCTTTTCAGTTTAATTGTAAATATCAGAGAGAGGTATATAGTATTAGAACTAGTAATACCTTAATAATATTTCAGTATTTTTTGGTTTATCTACTATTATATTTTTCTACTTATCCAAAAATGAAACTATGTAATAAACAAGGAAATGATAAAGTAATAAATAAAATATTTTATGCGCCAAGAATTATACAAAAATTATCAATATCTTTAGAACTTACTATACCTAAAAATATCACTGGATAAGTAGTAACATTACGATTCATGTCATAATAATATGTATTCAAAAATAATTTGAGACAAGCTAATATGAGTTCTATGACAAAAATATATAGTGTCTGGAGTGTACAAATATTTAAAATATAGGATTACAGTTTTAGAAAAGCTATCAATTATTTTTAGAGAAAATATCTTAGAATTTTGACAAAAACTTGACAAAAGTTTTTCATGCCACAGATTTAATCTCCTGAAACTTACTTACGATATGTAAATATGTTTTGCAAATTCACCTATATTTAAATAAAAATAGTTAAAATTTTTAACTAAAGTCAATATTTAGTTATTTTATGTTTTTTTTACAATTTTAAAAAATTTTAATTTTCAAAGAACTCTCCCAAATTCTTATCAGCTAGAATTACATGAAAATTTTATAAACTTACTTAAAGTATTGTCCAACGAAAGATTGATATTTTTACAGACAACATACAATAATTGACAGAAATCGCTGTCACGAATTCTTTCTTTGGACATACTAGACTTAAAAGTACAATACAATAAAATTGAAACAACTATAACTATAGAAGTTTAATTAAAAAATTACACAAATCATCAATGAATATTAAACAAGTTACTATATAGATTGAAGGTAAAATGTAGGTACCTTCAAAAGGCCTAAATATAAAATCATCAGGTACGGCCACGACGAAGTCCATCCTATGATTTCTATTCAAGTTGTTGAGAATGTGGTCCCTGACTTCATCATTGGATGAGTGACTTAAGGAAGTAAGATCTGCTGTAACTCTTACTTTGAAGTTGTCGTTCCTGTCTTTACTAAAAAAGAAAAATAAGGATTAAAATTCATAAAGATTTTCAATATTAAAATCAGCAGCTGTCTGAAAGGGTCTCAAGAATTTGTTGGTCAGGAAGGTTTCTTTGTATATCGCCTGTTGATGTCTCCTAGTTTTATTTAAAACCAGTGAAAATAATGATGAAATAAATAGACTAAGCAATCAAAATACTATTGTCTGTCATAGTAAAAATTAGAAAAACCTTGTTTTTTACTTTCATCTTGGGAATTTTTATTGTGTTCGTTGTCTTTTTTTTGTGTTTGATTTGAATTATTTTGTGTATATTTTAAAATTAACTTTATGCCATGTTTATAAGTCTTATAAAATAAAACAATATGTCAGGGCTTACACATATTATATGACGACGTCCACAGACTGAAACCATGAAAAATAATGGAACAACTTCTCAATAGTAATTAAGTATACAGTCTGGCCTTTATAAGAGGAAAATCTTTTTTACTCTCAATTTTTTATAAAAATGATGCATTCTTTATACAAGTTTTTGCTTGTTCTAAAACTAACAGCAAAAAAATTAACGCTAAGCAAAATTAATATAATCAACTTTCAAGAAATTAAACTTAAATGATATTTCCATAGAAACGCGATTTGATTTTTAGAACTTATTTTAAGTTAGGCTCTAAACTTTAAGATTTTTAGGAAATTCAACCAATTTCTTTTCTCTAAAACGGTATGGAAATTTGGACACATATAAACGGAATTAGCCATTTTAGAACAAGCCTAAACTTATGAAGAATGCATTTTTCTCAAGTTGTTAATAATAAAATAGTTTTTCCTCTTGTAAACTCAATCGGGGACTATCGTATAACATCTGTTACAAGTAGCAAACCAATCAATAAATAGGTTTTAAATTAAGTAATGGCATTTGAACCTTTACAAAATGTTTAACTTACTCTATGCTGATTACTGTAGATGACTGAGTACCAGGAAATGAATCGAACAGTTGATCCAAAGATCGCTTCACCCTATCTGCCAATTCACGGAATTCATAACTGTTGAAATTGTTGAATTCTTCTCTGTATGGTTCTTGGACGGTAATTATAAATCTGTAGTATTCTAGAAGAAAAAACAATTGATTTTCTTGTACAAACTAGTCAAATATAAACAGAAAAATGCTAGATCGCAATATAATTGTTAAAATAGTTTATTAACAGAGATCAAGGCTGTTATATATATTTTTCTTGTATATGTTGGGACAAAACAAATCATTGATTAGTTTAAATGTAAATCTATGATTTACAATAATTGAAATTATTAAGAAACGCAAATAGAACGTGTTTATTTTTTTATTTTCTTTTTTTTTTTCATATTATGGCGGAGATTGACTTCACCCAACGCTGTAATGTAACCTTTGTTCGTTGCTCGCGACAAGCGTTTCGTTCAGAAACCAGAAGCAAAAATCTCGATTCGAATGCTCAACTCGTTGTGCTCCAGCAATTTTGCAGCCTTTAAAAAAAGTCGAATCTAAAAATTAGAAATGAGAAGTGATACGTTTATTATTTTTAGCTAGTAGCTAAATTTTTAGCTATTTATTATACATATTTCTCACACAGCCAATTAACAGCAGCACTTTTAACCACAATTAAAACTATAGTATCTACTATAAATATGATTTGAATACTGACAATACTGTACGGACTTGTAATAATCAAAGAAATTCCCTAAAAACGACAGACGAGTGGAGCATCATTCGCGATTATTTCCCGGCATTGACTAGCGAATGCTCGTTGTATAACACGTTACATTAAAATGCTCGGCTCAAGTCAATCTCAGCCTTTGCACTTTAGTGAGGGTTTGGATTACAATCCATCTGACAACGGAGACGAATTAAATAAATTAAAAGGAACTTATGCCGAATAAAAACTGAGCTTACTTGGTATAGGGCGCTCTGTAGGCACGGGCACGCTTTCAACATGTCTACCTTCATCGACTTCACCTGAACCTTCTCTTCCAGACCCGAGACCAGGTAAATCCTCATCATCTCTAAAATATCAAGAAAATTATTTTTTACAAAAAAAAAGAAATCAATAAAACATTTCAAACTTACCCTAGTACCACACGAGGGTTCTCAGGGTCCTGTAACATTAAAAAATACAAATAGTATTTATATTATTTATAGAATTTTGATTAGTTAGAACCATCCAAGCTTATGATTGTAAACAAATGAAGGGTGTTATTAGATATTTAAATAATTAACCATAACAATGCCATAACATTGAATACCATTTTATATTTTATATACAGGGCGTCACTAAATAAGTTCAAGTATTTTAAGAAGTAATAGATCTGGACAAATAATTTTTTTATATTTTCCAATTTTAAAATAAACTAAAAATAAGAAAGTTATTTAATTTTAAAAATTTAATAAAATAATGCTTATATTTTGAGAAACCGCCGGTATCAACAGACAATTAGTCAGCTTTATTAGACGCCCTGTGTTGCCACGTTGAGCGATAAGAAAGTATATACTTAACTTAAAAACTACTTAGGAGAATTTGCGACAAGAAAATGTATTTTTGAGATTTGCCGGTAAACATCAAAAAACATGAAAAATTATTAAGAATATTAGCCTCATAGCCCTGTTACTGTGGTCCACCACCATACCACTACTTAAAATACTTGCATATATATAAGACACCCTGTAGATTGTGATGATGGAGCATTACAATAGTATCCTAGTGTGGAAAATCCTAAGAGTTAAAAAATATATTTCTTTATCAATTGGCAGTTCTACAAATAACAGATTTTAGAAAATAACTCTAATTCCCATATTTTAGTAATACTGCCAATTATATAAAAAAGAATATTTACAAATTATACATAGATAAGTCATGCTACTTGTCATGTTAAAATATTAATAAAATATGAAATATATGAAGAATATTTAGATAGAATAATAAAGGGGTAAATGAAAGTTTGTGTTATTTTATGTTAGTTTTTAATAGTGTCAATACAAATAGTGAAAGAAATGGTTGATGATGGAAAATACTTATCCATTATGTAAATACTTTAGTGCCGTGAACAAAAAAACACCTGATTATTCTCTAAGCTTATAAAAAACAACACGTAAAATTTGACAATATTAGTGCCACGACAATGGTACTTCACTTACATCAACATCGATATTGTCTTCGTCATAATCATTATTATTATCACCCTAAAGAAGAAATGTAAAAATTTTACAAAAACATAACATATATAGATTTTTTGTGTAAAAATATCGAAAGAGCCAATTTACTACTAAGGTAATATTCATTAAAATATTTTTAAAAAGAAATTTTAATATTTTTTGAATATTTAAAGTCTGTAAATTGAATCTTAATTATGCTGTGTCAAGCTATTTAATAATATTTATTGTACATATACAGAGTGGGTCTTAAATAAGTGCACATATTTTTAGGAGTAGTATATTTCCACTCCAGAAACACGTCTATGAAATTTATTTCACGAAAAAAAAATTGAAGATTAGGAATTATTGTAATTTTTTTAAATTTTTTGTTAAAACATAATATCTTGATAATATGGCAACATTAAAAGCAGATTAAATTTTCAAGAAAGAAAATCTAATCTAGTTCTAAAAAAATAGCTAAGTTCTAAAAGCTTCTAGCTAAAAAGATCTAGTTCACAAAATTTAAGCAAACATTATTTTTCTTAATTTTCAAAGTAAAATAACTTGGATATTTTGGACTTGAACGAAAAACGGTAAACAGAAGATATGTTTCTTTTATCGAGACCTACCAGCCCTAAAAACATTTGCGCGTATTTAAGAGACACCCTGTATTTATACTGAGAGACTTTGTACTGAGGATAAATATAAAAATTCAAATGCTTTGTAATAATACTGTGTGTAACGACATAATTTGGCTATACTAAATGCAAGAAGTGGACAACATCAAGTCAACTTACTGATCCCTCTAATTCTATTCTTCTATATGGATCTACTACGACAGTTCCCTAAGAATAAAACAATAACCTTGTAAATTTAACCACCAAAAGAAAAAACATAGCCACAACATCTATTTTAATAAGTGCAACAACATATAAAAAAATATTTTCATTTAAAAAATAAAGATTACAGATTGCAGTTACACAACACTAAGCTACTTGGATATCCCAAAATTCTATGGATATTAAACTTATTAACTATTTTTGGAATAAGTGAATTATTTCCTTTAAAACATTTGTTATCATAGCCAATTTTTTCGCACCTATTAATTTACACCATGTAAATGGTATGGTATATATGTACATATTAATATTTTGAAGATTATCAATATCTTACTGTAAATATATCGAAATAGTCATTTTTGCAAATAGTTTCTACTAATGTGCAAAGTTAAATGTGTGTTTTTTAAAAATTAAAAGAAAAAGACAACTAATTTGTTTGATATAAAAAATATAATGAAAATATCAAGTGCGCTCTTTTACAAATATTAAACGTGCTTTTAAAATACCTATCTATGTATACCGAGTGAGATGACATTCATGAAAAATTATGAAAAATTTCATGCTAACCGCGACCAGTAATGACAACTGACTTTAATTTGTGAACCAATGGTACAGTACACACAATTTGTCGTATTTTGATGAGTAACTTTTGAAAAATATTTAAAAAAATTGGTCACAGCCGATAATGACAGCCAACTATTACATAACCAATTAGTTGGGTATGTAAGAAAACCTCGGCAATAAACATACTACTTATTACACATTTTCTAGCTTTATGGTTATGGTCAATTTTTGTTATAACAAATAAATGCCACCCATCAAAATGCAACACGCTGTATATATTTTCTCATAGTCCCTATTATGTATTTATTTATTTATGAAATCATTCCCAGAATAATCAAATTTTTAATGGTTTATTTATTTAACATATTGTTGAACTCAAAAATTTACTAGAACAAAGTTTAATTAAAGCATATTCTTGACTCCTGTAAACTAAATATTAAATTAAAAACTTTTGAATAAAGAGATTAAGGAAGGAATATACCAACAAACTTAAAATGGAGGCTAATATGATTTCCGGTTCATCACTGCCGTTTTAATTTTATTTAAAACATGTAGAAATATAAAGTAGGGTAGACTCAATAATTTGTTGCTTTTGCTTAATTATATATTAAGAGTATTAGTTATTAAAAGTTGTTAAAAATATAGTTTTAATAAAAATAGATAAGATCTCTACTGAAACGTCTAAGTCAAATTGACGTATCCTTATTATTTTTGACAAGTGGTAAATAAAAGCGAAAATGCAATAAATGACATATAAGAAGCCTTGAAAAGTATCAAAAATTCAAAAAAATTGAAATCATATTAACTCTGTCAAATGAAACGTCAAATAGGACTGTCAAAAATGGGAGTTCATGATGTCGATTCCCAATTCCATCTCTAATGCATGAATACATGGATAGCATTATAATAATCCTCCTTAAAATATTTATTCAAAGTATAAAACCATTAAAAACCAGATATTATTCAAATTTAGCGCCAAATTTGATTTGCGTACAACGAATTTTAGTCACAACAAATATAGTGCATTTTCTTTAATTTTAAAGGTGCAATTAACGAATTTCGTATAAAGAGTTCACTTACTGAACCACCAAATTCTATTGGTCCGAAGAAATTTGTAGAAGAACCCTAATAAAAATAATTTTAGTAGGTCAATCTTTGTCTGACTTTTTCTTTGTATTTCAGTACTTCATTTTAGATAATTTAGTGGACTTACGTTTTCATTATAATATTTATCCTCATCTAACTCATTTATATCCTCATATTGTCCCTATAAATTCCAAAAAATTATTAACGACCTTTTTTTTATTTTTTATTTTTTTTTTATTTATTTGGTCATTATGTTCAGACTTTTAGATGGTTAAAATGTAACAGACACATTTTTAACACATCACAAAACATACATTGTACAATATTTCAAAACATTTTCACATTGAATTAAATCAAAATACCATTAGAAAAAAACGGCGTCAAATAAGGCTGAGGAATAACAATCGATGATAATTTTGGTGAGGTCAAACTCTAGATGTCATTTCCTTGGCCCGTACTCTCTTTTATTTAATGGTCCTTACTGCCAGTTGGCCATAAGAAGAACGTGATATATTTTATATTGAGTAAAAATGATTTTTAAATAGTGTAGTTTAATATTCAAAAAAAATAATATTTTAGTAACAATAAATATGTGTGTCTGAAGAAAACGTTCTATCCTTTTTAATCTTTCTATAATTAGTGATAAGTTTTTTGTCAATTTTTAATAAACGACATCTAGAGATTGACCTTGCCAAAATTATTATCGATTGTCATTCTACAGCCGTTTTTAAGCCATTTTTTTCTATACAATGTAAAAGTATAATTTTAAAATTTAGGATTTTTTAAAAAAAATCTGAAATATTTTAATGTGAATTTAAAAAGCACATAAACAAAATGATTCTAAAAGAAATTAGAATAAAGAAATTTTGATTTTGCTTCGAAAAATGTTCACTTAAACTTACATTTTGTACATCACCATAAGTATCTTCCTCTTGTCCCAACTCCTAAGACAGCAAGAAAAAATAGAAAAATATTGTTTTACTAGATTTCTAAACATTTTAAAGTAGAAAAAACATCACCAAGTAGCAGAAAATTATGCGACAAACCACAAACTTAGAATATTTAAACCAGTACCTAGAGGTTAGTTAAAAGTAGGTATAAAAAATAACCAAAAACTAGAAAACAAAGTCAAGATTGTAAGACAGAGTAAAATCGAAAGCTTTTCAAAAAGCGTATCAAAAAATTCGAATTTTTCTGACTTACTTCCTCATTTTCCTCGTCAAGGTCCTAGAAAAAGTTATATTTAAAGTATGTTTTAGAAAAAAATTACTTAAATGATATATTTAGGTTTACGTACATCGTAGTCATCGTCAGCTTGTCTGTGATTTCTTAAGAGATTCGGGTGGTGTTCATTGTTTTCGAATTTCGATTTGGAATGGTTGGGGTTCTTAATTTCTTCGCTGCTCTTGTCATGGTGTTTTAGGTTTTTACCATCCTCCCTTTTTGAAAATATATTACCTACAGGAAAAATAAAAGTAAAATAAATAAAGGACAAATAATTTATTTTTAGTGATAAACAATAAGACTGCGACTCAACTACGCAATTTTGCCTTGAGGAAAAATTCTGTGTGTAGCAACCTTTAATATGTTTATTGCTAGGTAGTGTAGCTAGAGATATTGACAGATATTCACTATTTTTCCAACTTTGTATCAAATTTTAATAAAACTATTAAAAAAAGGCATGTTATGATAATTTTATGAAAAAAAGTGCTATCTAATACCCTTCTAATACACATCTCATATAAAGGATGTCCCATTTAAAAAAAATCATAGTTTATACCAGACACCGTGGGTACTGTGGTTATAATTTATTTTATAATAAATGTTTTATAGTCAAAATAAAAAGTTATAGTCAGTAAAATGTGGGACAAAATAAGATATTGCTGAACCACTGTATAAAAATTAAAAATCTTATTTTATTTCTATATACTTGATAACTGATATATGTTATTATTATATTTCAACAAGATCAACTATTCCACGAGCTAAATGATTCACAAAAATAATCTTGAAAATTCCCCTTAGAAATTCACAAAAAAATTAGAAAAGGCTGATTCGTACAGCGTATTACATCAAAAGTTACTCCAGCTTAAAAAATATATGTATAACAACAAACTGATTAACTGAAGATTTGAATGATATGGATTGGAATAGAAAAATACAAAAATAAACAAGATTCCAAAGAACAAATTTTTGTATTCAGAAATATGCTGCAGTCACAGCCCCATGAATAAAAATATCCAAAAAATATAAAGAGTCATACTGAGGAGATACTTGGTTGGCAAAATTTGGCTTTGTAATACAAAATAAAAATTTAATTCTAAAAATCGGAGGCTTACAAAAAATAGTTTTATTGATAAACCATTTAAAGCAAAAACAACACATCTAATAAAGCGGCCCATACATTATCAAACAAATTGCTCAACGCAGGCTGTTGCGCAACGAGTTGCCAATGTATGGTGTTTGATGCGTTGCGCAATTATTTGATGAGTTTCAAGAATGTTTGAATTCTTTTGTGCAACAGGACTGTTTGAGCAACGCGTTGTGTAGTGTATGTGTGTGTTGCGCTTCGTTGTGCAATATTATAGTTCTTTCATCCAAATTATTTGTTTTCTTTTTCGTTTTTTGGTATCATCGACATCATCTAGGGTATATACGATAATAATTGACGCAATGGCAATTGAGGACATGATTGTTTCTCAAACAATGCACAACTTTTAATAAAAACTTTGATCAAAATTTTACTAATTAAAGTGCATGGGTGATGCAGTTGTGCAACGGAACGTTGCGCATCGCTTTGTTGCGCAACTTCTTTGATAGTGTATGGACCGCTGAATCAGTTGTGCAACGCAGCGTTGCGCATCGCTTTGTTGCGCAGTTTGTTTGACAATGTATGGGCCGCTTAAGTTTGTGTCGCAAATATTATGGTCTATTAAATATATAAATAGGCTATGTGTTTAATTTGCTTACCTATACTTCGTTTTATTCTATTTACAGTTCCGAACAACCAATGGTCATCTTCATTTTGACTAGATTCTGATTGACTATGACTACTCGATTCCCTTGCTATCCTATGATTTCTTAAATTTGTTGCTTCTAATGTGTCGAAAACTAAGTCTGAGTCCTCCTGTAATAAAAAGAAAATCAAAATTAATTATCATACAATTCAAAATAGATTTTCATTTCATTATATTTTCTTAATAAATACATGGTAAAAGTACACGTAATATATAATTTGCAAACAGCAAATTTCATTTTAACAATGTACCAACATGTACATGTAAATTAAGACACTTTTATGTGATACAGTATATAAAACTGTCGACAGTTCCAACAGATTCAAACAATCAAAAATGTATTTTAAAAGCTGATGTCTAAATATTTTCTCCATAAAAAAGAAATAAAAGAATCAACACGACGGAACGTGAAGCAGCTCAGCTACCGGCATAATAAACACAAACCTACAGACAGTAAATAAACTTTTAGGTATTTTACGGTATCGTTTTACTGGAAGGTCGGTAACGAAGAAAACCATAATTAAATGCCCGTGTGTATATGAGCGGGCCCTCTTAAGTTGTTTTATTAATAGAAATAGTATTAATCTTGAGCCAAAACATGTAAAACGAGAACATAGAGCCCTATTAAACCCGGTTATGTTACTATTTATCTTTAAATTGATATTAAGTTAGTAGAGCCAGCGATAGAGTTTTAATGAAAAAATAATTTTATAGACCTTTAATTAACAGTTTTCGCAGTTTTATGGTAGAGCTACATCAGTGGCTACTGTGAAACGACTGCGAAAATTCATGATTTGAATTTTACTACTGTTATTATGTATAGTTAAAATTTATTGAATAAAATAAAGGCCTCACTCGTTTTACGCGGTTTTGCTTATACGCGTTTGCGTTTTTGACACCATTGTTATTCATGCTGTTCTGAACTTTAATAAAAAAGAAACGATAATAACACAAAAACTGTCCCCATATCAAGGTTTGTAGTTTAATACATTCAAAACATGCCGCATTGATTGCATTCAAAACTGAAGAGGTTTTAGTTAGTTTAGCAGATCCCCACCCGGAGGTATGGATCTCTGGTTTCGAGTTTAGATTATGAGTTATTCTATTTATTGTTTTTGGTTGCTCATTTGTTTCCTAAGATATTCGCAAAGTCACGGTGGAAAAATGTTAGACCAAAAACATCGGCACGAATGGACAGTAAACGATTGTATTTAGATTATTTTTAAACGGAAATTATTCACAGCACAAGTCGATTCCACTAAATACCTACATGTTATGTCGTAGTCTCATAGGGTATTCCGTCTTTTCATGAAGATCCTAGTCACTTCATGAAATAAACTAACCTAATAACCTAACTATACTAACTAACCTAACCGACGCTTCATGAAGTGACTAGAATCTTCATAAAAAGACAAAATAATACACTATGAGACTACGATGTACATAATACACTTTAGCACATAACATTTCAACAGGAAAATAAAATATATGACTTAGTTAGCATTAGTTAAATAATGAGAAAACATTTACTTTACCTTTAATAACATTCTTTGTCACAGTAATCAAAATTTACAAACCAAAATAACGCCGATGTGTCTAGAACAGTAGTCTATAAGCTATTACATAACACCTATCATATCTGTTCATTGCCTGACTTCCCTCTCCCTAGTGTGCGAATATATATTTTAAAAATCAATAATGCTTTATGTATACAGAGTGTCTGAAAACATTGAAGGCTATAGAAATAAAGAAATATATGTTTATTTTTAAATAAGGGGCTCAACTCAACTACTCATTTAGGGAATTCGTTGCGTGGAGAGAGTTACTAGGTTACTCCTAATTTAACTGCTTAAAAAAACCTTGTTTATTCTATAAATAAGCAACAAACCTCGAACCACACGTCAATTATCCGACAAATATCGCAAATTTATTCGCGTATGTTGCACAACTTTAACATCTTAACAGCTTCCATGTGATTAACCATACCTACTGGTAAATTATCAGGCAAGAGTCTGTAATTCAGCTGTAATTGACTGTAAAATACCAGGATTAAGTGTCAAGTTCATGCTGAGATTGAAAATAGTTGTACTGTTTGATAAAAAATATATCTTTATTTCAAAAACACACTTCAAAGAATGCAACAACGCTATTAATCTTAAAATTAATCGAAGATATACAAATATTTTTTAAATGGCACAAAGATAGCTTTAAGAATTTAATATATTACTAAACTTGCACTGAACATGAATAATACTATACACTCATCAATATTTAGCTTACTTTAAGCGGTATTTGAGGTTTTAAGACGCTCTGTATACCGAGTATGTTCCGTATCGCGTATAGCACAAATAGGAGCTCAACTAAATATAATTCCCCATATTTTCCCGATTAATTAAAAGCAAACACGCGGTGTTATATGCAGATTGCGGGAGGAGTGGATCTAAATATAGACTCGCTATTAAAACCATAAAACTTTGATCGTTACCGGCGGTCGACGCTAGGTACTTCCAGATCGTTTGAACAGTCCCAAATTGATAGTTTAAAGCAAGTCAGAAGGAAGGGCTCGATACTATAAATTAATATACCTACAAACCTATAACTTGGAAAAGCCGTGTATTTTACCACGAATATTGATAAAGGTAACGAGAGACTGATATAATTATACGAAACGTCGTAGGCGGGTAAATAAAAAGAATAAAGACAATGGAAGTTCGACATAACAGTTCTGTTTAAAGTAAAGAATACCATATTTTTAAACAAAACTTATGATATCTGTGTTATTTTAGATCCTTTTGAATGATCAAAGATACATCTGTCATTTTAATTCATAGGTAAATCGTATTTAGTGACACTTTTTGGATGTCGTCTGTCGAAATCTTCCCTGGCTTGATGGACAGACTGTACAGGGTGGGTCAAATTCGACGCTTTTAAATGGAAACACCCTTTTCTATAGGAGATAGACAAAAACTAACATCGGTGTCTGGAGCTCAATTTTTGTCAAAAACATGATGGTGTTTCGGAGTTACGGGGTGTTTTTCAAAAATATGCATTTTTAACGAATCGCTGTAACTTTTTTGCTATGGAAAATTTTGCATTTTTATGAAAACATTTCCAAAGTACCTTTTTACGTAGAATTTAATGGTTTAAGTATAATTTTTTTAAAATTAATAATTTAAGAATTATCAACAGAAAATTTGATTTTTTATATCAGACACCCTGTATATCTTTAATTTATTGAAAAGAATTTAAAATTACCTTTCCAAAAACATAACACACTTGATATATTCCTCGATTCCTCTTCGAGAGATAGAGTATACAAAAATTCGCCCGCTTTAAATAAGTAGGCTTTGAATGGCACCGGCTGTAATGCAAAAAAATTCTAGCTGTGAGCATCAATTAAAACGAAAATAATATTTTCTATGAGAGATGCAGAATTTTATAACAATTTAAAATATATTTAACCAACATCACAACACATTTAAACTATATCTCATAACAATAAAAATAAATAGCAAACCAAGACATGAGATTTTGCTGCAGGTGTTCGACCGTCTTCTGTTATATCGACCGTCTTCTGTTATATCGACCATCTTCTGTTATGGACAGACGGGGCCGTTTCTGAACATTTCTCGCGGAATTCATTAACTCAGTGGGGGTGAAAGATACCCTCTCATAACTGCTAAGTATTTCTAATTCTTGTCTAGATTATACGGAAGAATAAGGAACCTTTATTCTTCCTCAAATATATCCATAGGATTAGATCCATGGGCACTAAGTCAGGTGGCCTCGACGGCCAACGGCTGGAATCTTGGTTAGCTATTCAATTATTCTTGAAATTGGCTGCAAAAATTTGCTGATAACTTCAGCGTTCTGAGGCGGTGACTCTTCTTGCTGGAAAAATATGTTTTCAAGATCCATTAAGGGCATATCATCAATAAGGGGTCCAAAGCCTACTAGTTAAAATTGGCGAACTTTTAAAAATTCTGTATTTCGAAGGGGAATATAACAAAATATCAAGTGTGCTATATTTTTGGAAAGGTAATTTTAAATTCTTTTCGGTTAATTAAAAATATAAAGGGTGTCCCAAATAAAAAATCAATTTCTCTGTTGATAACTCTTAAATTATTAATTTTAAAAAAATTATACTTATACCATTAAATTCAACGTAAAAAGGTGCTTTGGAAATGTTTTCATAGAAATACAAAATTTTCCATAGCAAAAAAGTTACACCGATTTATTAAAAATGCACATTTTTTAAAAACACCCTGTAACGCCTAAACGGTAACAGATATTGATGTGCGGTTTTCACCATCATGTTTTTGATGAAAATTGAGCTCCAGACACCGATATTAGTTTTCGTCTATCTGCTATAGAAAAGGGTGTTTCCATTTAAAAGCGTCGAATTTGACCCACCCTGTACATGCATACATGTTCTATTGTTCCATGAAATTATTCATATCAAATTGAACTTTAATTATAGAAAAGCAAAATGTTTTGTTTTTGTTATAAGTACCATCACAGAAACAAAAAATTAGTAGAAATAAACCTGACATCAAAGACAAATTAAGGAAGATATATTTTTTACAAATATAATCGAGTAGTTACTTAAAAAAAATCACTAACTGAAAAAAGTCTAAAAATGCGCTTCTCTCAATCTGAACAGTCAGTAATTCTGTTGATCCTGTTATACACTTACGGTAAAAATTAAAAATATGAAATTTTAGTGGCTTATGTAAGCCAAGTTATCCCTGCAAGTTTCCTAATATCATGGTCCCATCTCAGGTTTGGTCTTCCTCTAGGTCTCTCAATTCCTCGTGGGCACCATGCTCTAATTTTTGTGGTCCATCTGTTGTCTGTCCTTCTTACCAGGTATCCTATCCGTTGCCACTTGAGGGATTTGACTCTGTGTATGATATTTATTAGCTAGGTCTTTTGTCGGATCCACTCCATTCTTTTAGGATCTTTAAAACTTAGGACCTAACTTAACCTAATCTTTTAGGATCTTTGTTGCTTATTTCCAGCATATTTCATTCCATTGAAGGTTGTGCGACCTGCAGTTTCCTTATAATGTCCGTCTTCAGTCTCCAGGTTTCGCATGACAAGCCATGAC